AAAAAAAAAACCCCACTAAAACACAAATCAAATGCAGAATGGAGCTAATTTAACTCAAACTGATCAGACTGATCTTTTACTTATGACAGGGTTTTGTTTATTATTTATTTATTTATTTGTTTAAAGTTACTCATAAAATAATAAATCTAATATAAAAAGGTTACCCGGAACTAGATCATTTTTTGAAGGGGTTTACTTGTGTAGTTTCCCAAATATATTGAACGCAATTCTAATGCAGGTACGCGCTCAATGTAAACAAAGCAAGTGGAAACCACATGGGAGCTTAAGTCATGTGACTGACCTACTTAAGCTAGGACCTTTAGGTCAGGGCTATTCAACTGGTGGTCCAGGGGCCAAATCAGGCTCATGGGTGAACTCAGTTCGATCCACCAATGGGTTCATTTTGAAATGAAACTAGATTTTAAACCACAAAACAAACTTACTTAAAGACAGTAACTTCTGGATGTCCAGCCCCTGAGCTCTTGGCTTTCAGTAACTGTGGCCCCCTGAGCAGTTTAGTTGAATATCCCTGCTACAGATCAACACATGTGGCTGAATTGGACAAGTAGAATCTCAGAGAAGATGCTTAAGTTGAACTATAAGTGAATCTAAGTGCTAAAGAGAAGAGGAAAAATAAGAACTGCAAAAAATAAATATCCATGTTCAAGCAGGGCGCTGGAGTGCCATAAAGATAGAGCTCAAAATTCAAACACGTACAGTTTTTGAAAAACTTTTGCTAAACTGGTGAGTTTGACCTATTTTTCAGTCACTACGGCTGTTTTTGTAGGTAAACAAACGCTCGTGGTAGTTGGCATCCAGTCGCAAATTGTCAGATTTTAAGCAACAAATCTCTATACCAGGGGTGTCCTGGTCCTCGAGGGTCACGATTCTTCTCTGTCCCAATTCATCTGATTTGAATAAATGGGTGATTGACTAGAAGAACCTGAAGATGTGATTCAGTCACTGAATCAGGTGGAGCAGGGAAACAAGTGAAACATGCAGGATGGTGGCCCTCGAGGACCGGGACAGACACACTTGTTCAAGTTCAAGTATTTTTATTATCCCCGAGGGGCAATTTGTTTCACAGTCAGTAGAGATATAAAACATCCATACTACACAAGACATTAAGACATTAAAATAACAGTACAGAAGTCATCAATGTTCATTGAGAAGCCTGATCACTCCTGGGGTGAATGAGTTTTTCACTCTGTTCGTTCTACATCTGGGCAGCAGATACCTGCGTCCAGATGGAAGCAACCTGAACTCACCATGGAGTGGATGATCAGGATCTGCCAGAATCAGCCTGGCCTTGTTCACTGACCTCGCCTTGTGTAGGTCAGTGAGGTTCTGTAGGACTATGCCACCAGTTTTGCTGCACATCCCCGAGAGTTGGTTCCTGTTTTTGCATGTCAGAAGTCTAAACCAACAGACGAAGGTGAAAGTTAAAAGAGACTCAATAAAAACATTCTCATAAAAGTCTAATCAACATTAAAACCACAGAGCTGCCAATAAAAATACATTCTCTGGTGGGCCTTCGTACAAAGTGAGTTCACATGGGGGTCAAAGGTCAGTTTGTCATCAATAACAGTTCCCAGATTTTTATACTGATGCACCACCTCAACAGCTTCACCGTTAATGACCACAGGAGCTGCAACTGAAGAGTCTTTTCTAAAATCCAGGACCATCTTGCTCTATACACAATACAAAAACCAGTGAATCAACATTTGTTACAAAACCTGAAAGAGACACTACTGGAGGTCAGAAACTGACCCCCTTTGACTCTCGTTTTATTAGTTTTACAGGGCGGCTGGTGCATTTATAAAAAGCATGGCGCTCCAACTGTCTTGCTGCAACAACCACAGATGATTTGTGAGTCAGTGTTCAGTCTGGCTGCTTCTCTTCCTCCTGACAGGGATCCAGACTCAGCGAGAAGGTGAAGCCTGCACGTGTTAAATGCTCACTCCACGCCTTCCAGCAACACAGCGACTGCTCATCTAACCGCCCTCCCTTCAGCGACCGTGTGAACCACTCGTGGACCGTTCGCAATGGCGTCCAGCCTGACATGTTCGGGCGTTATCTGGACCCTGCTGTCCCTGCTGTGCGCCGCCGCCTCCTGCGTCGGCTTCTTCATGCCCTACTGGCTGCTGGGCACGCAGATGGACAAGCCCGTGTCCTTTGGCACGTTTCGCCGCTGCTCCTACCCGGTGAGAGACGAGGAGAAGCAGATGACGGTGATGGTGGAGCAGTGCGGGCGCTACGCGTCTTTCCACGGCATCCCGAGCCTGGAGTGGAGGATCTGCACGGTGGTGACGGGCGTGGGCTGCGGCCTTCTCCTGCTGGTGGCGCTCACGGCGCTCATGGGCTGCTGCATCTCTGACCTCATCTCGCGCACGATTGGACGCGTGGCTGGCGGCATCCAGTTTGTTGGAGGTGAGCACAAGCGATGTCGGGTTTCTGTAGAGTCCATCTGCGATTACCGGCTTCTCTGGTGGAGATCTTTGAATAACAGAACTTCTTTCGTTGCGGTTTGCTGTTTATTAGAGACGCCATATTCTATGAAGTTTATAAAAAAAAACGAAGAAGTTTGTACTGAGTTGAGTTCATTTCAAATTGCTTGCAACACAACGTGAAACTAAACCCCAGAGAGAGAGAAATATGGCGGTGCTTTTCTTTGGCGATCAGCCCAAGCCATGTTTTCCTCTGACTCTCAGCAGCGCAGGAAATGAAACGGCTCCCATGGAGCTTGTGGTTCTGAGACTTTCTGAAGGCGAGCCTTGTCACATTTTTACTTTTGTAAAACTTTAAAGCAACAATGGCCATCTTCTGAGTTTAGCATAATTCTTTCAAACGTGCATGGATTCTTAATTAAACATCTGTTTTGGTGTTCGGCTCGGCTTTGTTCAGAAGCTTCAAATGGACTCTAGCAACATCCAAATGTAGCAAACTAGTAGCTAAAAGCTAACATTAGCTGAACAGTAGCCAAAATATTAAATGATCAAGACTAGCTAAAAGGAATAAGGAGCACAAGGAGACAAGAATTAGCCTGTTTGCTGAAGCAGATTTTAAAGAGAATGATGGTTTGGTTGCAACTGAAGAGATGTCGATGGATTTCTGCAGCAATTTTTATTTGGTTTATTTCTTTTTTGAAAAGTTTAAAAGTTACTACAAACAAGAATCTTAGCTCACTATTCCTGATTGATTTGAACATTTTGATAGCTGTACGGTTAAAAGATGCTTGGCTGCTGATCTCTTGCCTTTATGCTGCTGTATTCATCTGCTCACTACAAACTCATGTTCGGGCTGCTGTTTAATACGCAGCATTATTTCACATTATTAGTGTTTAGCGTATATCTTGTATATTCTAGATCCTCGTATACTGTTTATTTTTATATTTTTGTTATTTTTGGGTGTAACTGGGACCTTGAGTACACAGTTTTGTTCCACCTCATGTACCACGTGTGATGCAAATGACAATGAAGAACCTTGAAATAAAAAGCTCAAAGTGTGCAGAAGAAATGAGTCCAAAATTTAGAAAAAATAAACTAAAACATAAAGCAGTCGTGTGAATGCTGACTCAGCAGTTTTACAACCAAGAGTCTACTTTGAAGCAGAAAAAAATCTTTAAGTTTTATGAACATCTCCTTTGTTTGCGTCTCTGCAATATGTTTTTCCCTGTTTTGATGAGATTTGGCATCAATATGTAACTTTTTTTTTTTTTCTGTTTGAGTGAAGTCATGGAAAATCCTCAGAGTTTTAAATTCTGCTCCGTGTTGGAGTCCGAGTCCGAATGAGGCCCTTCAAGTTAAAAAGCCGCCCACGCCCGTCCATTTTTCTCTGTTTTGTCCAGAAACACAGCGCGGCCCACGCTGCAGAAGCTGTTTTTGTTTGTCTGATTGCGGTGAGAAGACCCAGGTCTGGCTCGGCACCAGCTTTGTTTACGTGCGCTGTTGGTTTTGCACATGTGGACTCTCGGGACGTGAGGTCTGCGGGAAGCCTTCGACTGAAGCTGCACATTTTCCTTGCCCCAGTTTAAGAAGCTGTGGAGCTTCAGCCCTCTCATCAGCTTTTCTGTTTACACCCCCCCCCCCCCCCCCCCCCCCCCACCTCCGCTCAGGTTTAAAAAAAGCGCAACAGAGAAGCAGGTTGCAAGTAGATTTGATGGAGCTGCTGGGCTTCTTAAGAAGAAAAAATGAGAAATATGTACACTGTAGCACTCCATGTCCTAATTCTGAAAGGCTTATGGCTCCTTAGGAACATCAGCATTAATGATGTACAATAATGAGGACGATTAAGGTGAAGACTGCTCGGGTTACTCAGAAACCTTCCCTTTTACACAAGAGAAGCTTCTTTTAAGCTTCACATGCAGCGTTGCAGCAAGCTGCTATATTTGGTGTTGGGATTAAAAGCATTTCTGTCTGTCTTTCTTGAGATTTTTTTTATTTATTTATTTTTTTATCCACACTCACAAATCCAGACACGCATGAGTTTAGACAGCGAGGAAACCGTACAATACAAGAGACGCCGCTCAGGCCTTTTCGTCTTGAATGGTAGCGAGCCAAAGGGCAGAGATGTCTCAGAGGGGCTAATTGGAAATGACACAACAGAGAAGCTCAGTGGGCTCTTGCTTGTATTGTCTTCTGTCTCCTCCAGAAGTGTCTAAATATCCAGGCGGGCAGGAGACGATGAGAGAGAGAGGACGAGAAAAACACACCTGATGATTGAAACATCTCGCGTTCCCTTCTTATTAACAGAGGATCTGGTTGATAAATAAAGATCTGCACGAAACAGGCGAAGTGTGTGTGTGTTGGGGGGGGGGGGGGGAGTAGTGTGATCAAACTTTGGTGATTAGTAAAGGAAGACGGCAAACTAGATAAATTGCATTTCCTACAAAAATGCAGTGTGAATGCTTATTGGTGAAGAACCTGCTGGAAAAACAGCCGAAATTAGCTAAAAACATGCTGAAATGTAGCTGAATTTTAAGAACAAGCCTAAGTTATCAGAAGAAAGCAGAAAGAGCACATATTTGCTAAATTTGATTTAAATAAGCAGAAATTATCACAAAAATTAGGAAATTGGCTAAAAAGTTTGAAATTAGCAACAACAAAAAATAGCTGAAAAGTATAGCTGAAAAGGCAGAAAAAAGCTTAAACTACCCGGAGGAAGCGGAAGGAGCTGAAATGACCTTAAAAAAGTGGAAGTAGTTGAAAAGCTAAATTTTGCACAAAACAGCTAAAAATTGCTGAAATAGCAGAAAAGCTAAAACTAGCATAAAAAAGCTGAAATGAACTGAAATTGGTAGAAAGAAGGTAATTAGGCTGAAGGTAGCAGAAATTACCACAAAAAACTTGAATGTATCTGAAAACGGCTGAAATTAGCTGAAAATGCTAAAATGCCCCCCAAAAAAGTAGCTGAAAAGGTAGAAATGGCTTAAATAAGCAGAAAAAAGCTGAAAGAACACACTTTCACACTTTTGCCCAATTAGGCTGAAAAAAGCAGAAATTAGCACAAAAAATGGATATTATCTGAATAAGCTGAAATTAGTAACAAACACACAAAAAAAACCAGCTGAAAAGTAGCTAAAATGTCAGAAAGAAGCTTAAATTGCCAAAACAAAGTGGAGAAAGCACATTTTTGCTTAATTAGGCTGAAAAAAGTTTAAGTGAGTGCAAAAAAATGTGGAGTTAGTCAAAAAAGCTAAAATTAGCATAAAAACAGCTAAATAGAAACTTAAATAGCAGAAAAAGCTGTAATTTGCATAAATAATCTGAAAGGAGCATAATAAGCTGAAATTAGCAGAAAGAAGTTAGAAGCACAAAAATGTAGTTCGCAGAAAGAATCAAATGATCACAAAATAGCTGAAAAAACAGCTGAAATTAGCTGAAAGTAGCTGAAAAAAGTTTAAATTTATACAAGGAAGCTGAAAAAAGCTGAACCAGAACAAAAGTGGAAGGAGCAGTAAAACGTTGTAAACATATCTAAATATGTGAAAGATAAAATGAGCTCAGTTCATTTTCTATTAGAAAAAAGTGTCAGAAAAGGCTAAATATTTCAAAAAGCTAAAGTTGCACCAATACCAAAAGTCATCGCAGGATTGTCCTGAAAGACCTGAACGTTTTGATTCATGATTTGTTGAAATAGCACGAAAACTGCGGAACGAAAAAGATGCCAAAAAATGTACGGAAGAAAAATGGATGACAATAGTGTGAATGCTTCATAAGCGTTGACACAATGAAGACGAGAGGCCTCGTGTTCTCTGTTTGATCACAGTGGCGCGCTCCTTTTGTGTTCTCTCTGATCCGGTCGTGGACCATTAATGAAGAGCGGAGAGGCTGCGAGCTGCAAACAAATACCAGCTTGTAATTTACCTCACTCCCATGAAGCAGATTAAAGGTGAAAGGATTTATCAGAGCCTGTAGCTGCTGCCCCGTCAAATTAAAAAAAAAACTTTTCACAAAAGTTGCATTTCTTGTTGGAGCGGTTTGTCACACTTTCTCATACAGTTTACTACGGAGGAAGTTGTTTTAGAGGTTTTATTGAACTTATAGCTGTGGATTTTTATTTTTTTCACAACAGACGTCAAACTGTTTGGGCTCAGAAATGAGTTTTTGCTTGACACTAACATTTTGACACAGAGGAGACACTTGGATCTTTAGGACTCTTGGATTTGGTTGTCAGGGATTTTGTTTTTCGCCCCCCTGCAGCGGCTTGTCGTGGTTTTTTAGGGGGTTCTCAAGCAGAACTGGAGACAGCTGGAAGAAAGCTTTGGGAGGTTTGTTTTTATGATTTAGACATTTTTTTTTTCCCATGCTTTGCATTTCAGCTTACCACAGATTGTTGTGTAAATTCTACCTCTGCACACTTTTAAATAATAATGAAACCTAACTTTATTCAGTCAGCTGGTTCCA